ATCGCGTATCGAACTATAATAAAGCTGCTATTTTAACCAGTGTTGTTTAATTCGTAACAGCGACAACTAGTGAAAACCTGAACAAATGTAAACCGAATTTTTTCGATGTAACGAAGATACTAAAGAATACACAACGGACGGCATATGCTTGTGAGACTCTCGTGACTCGTTGCATAGCATATCTTTGCAGAATTTCTTTAGTAACGCTGAATGCCTGTGATGTACTGTTAGATATTAATCGGCAAATCAGTTGCTCTTGTAAATTTCACCAACAAACTTACCTTGAAAGTTAATGCAGTAATTACAATTATTATTATATCTGCAGGTTTCAGTCTCAAAGTCTTTCGTGAAGATGTCTGACAACCACTCCGGTGTCTCAGACGGTCTTGAAGAAGGCAGTGTGAGTTACCGAAGCGATGCGGTGCATTATAGTGCGTAACACGAGAAACTAGTGCTCAGGCTCCACACTGCATCTTCTATTTTGTTTCTTTTTGTTCTTTGGTATTTTGTGACTCAATTGACAGTTTCCTAACAAGTTTTGGAGACAAATAATAGTACTATGGTCATTGTAGAGATGGACACAACAATGACGATTCAATCATCATGGTCTGTAAGGAAAAGTAATTTTTCATTCCATCTTGCCTCAACAATTTTAAAACATTGGAACAGTTAGTGCTTTTTGTTTTTTCGTATCGGCCACAGTGTTTACATGAGTTGTCGCGGGGCAAAGAATAACAGCAAACATTCCGGGAAAAGGCTGAGAAAAAATTAACACTAAAAATATCAAGAGAGCGGAAGGATTTTAGGGGAATACAACGTTTTCAGCGGGAACGGAGCGGGTATCCTTCTTTCCTTGAAAACTATGAAGGGGGGACCATAGACAATTGCCTGTCAACGCGGGGGGTTCATTAGAACCCTAGAGAGCCTTTCGGGGGGAATCAGGTAAACTTTATTATGACATAACCAAACTCCTCCCGTTCCCCCATTCCCCCAGGCGATAAATACTGGTCGGTCTCATAGAAGTTAGAAGCTTGATAGAAAACAGGCACAAGTAGGCACAGAGAATAACAGATTCAAGCGGGCCTTCTTTACTCTTCAGTACTGTCCTTATGAAAGGAAACGAAACGAATCAAAATCGAAACGAAACGAAATGAAATGTCAGTCGTGTGATCGTATCTGCCTACATTTAATTGTAGACAGTGCCACGGTTGTCTAAAAAAGTTGGATCATTTGCCGCAGAATGTCAATGTTTTACAGATTTCTTTAAGAGATACTTACGGTGCACCCGCGAAGAACGAGCGAATTATTTCTCGGTCGAAAGGATAGCTAATGAAAACATGACTAACTTAATTATTTTGAAAGTATTTTAGTGATCTGTTGCCTTTTTTCGGCAAACTTATCTGCCAGTCTTTAATCAAACAAAGCTGGTATAGAGAAAGGGAAGCGAGGATTCTTGGAAAAAATCGAGGACGAGAGGATTCTTGGAAAAAGAAGAAACATCTTACAACAAATTATCCAACAAAGATTCCTTCAAAAAAATGTTTCGGAATTAGCTTAAAACTGTTTAAACCCCGTTAAAAACTATTTCTTCTTAATGACGAGCGAGAGTAGATCTTGCTATCGATATCGATCATAATATATTACTCAACTTTTGCCAGCAAAATCGGCTCCAACTTCTCCAAACGTGGATCGCGTCGCGCACGAAGATAAAGCTGCAGTTTTGACCAGTCGTGTTCAACTCGTAACGGCGACAACTAGCGAAGACCTGAACAAATGTAAACCGAATTTTGTCGACGTATCGAAAGATACCACTAATACACGACAGACTGCATGGGAACGCATGGAACGGTATCGAAAGATACTTTTTTTGTAAAGATAATTTTGGTGAAATGCTCACTGCAGCTACTGCGGCTGTTGTTGATCAAACCTCCTTATTTCTGTGTAATAACTTTAATTATGTCTGTATTTTGTATCATAAATATATAAGATTTAAAATTAAAATTAAAAACTAAATAAAAAGACCACGACGGCGACGGAAACGATGACTTGGCCGTGGCAAAACAACTTGAAAGACTTATTTGGGCAGAACAATAGCTCAGCGTCTCCCTTTTAAAACTGTTTTCATTTCTTATCCGGCCTCTGCAAAATAGGGACCTTAAGTAGTCAGGAAGCTACGCCAGGATGTATTTACTGTTTACAAAGCCACACCTTAACTTCAGCACAACATATGTTGGCAGCTTTGAGTTCCAAATGGAAATCAAAATAATTTGTCGTTCCCCTTTTCCGTTCGCATACCACGCAAATTTTGGTGATTTCACGTTGTTGTTTTGCAGAGCACGCCTAAGAAATGTATAAAGCTTTAAAACGCACGAGCTAAGCAATTGTTCTGCCAATTAGATCTTTTGTTTTGCCACGTTCCCTTTATTGTCGTCGTCGTGGTTTGCTTAAAGTCGCAGATAATAACGTGAATTATCAAAATCTGCGTTTTCCGAGAAAAGAAACGTCGACGGCAAATTATTTAACTTTTCACTTGGAAATCAACGCTGCTCTCATAAGAGATGGTAAGTACATCCAGTCATTCGCGAAATTCCAACTGAAAATATATATTCATTTCTAAATCGACGTCTTCCTTGTCGCTGTAATGTACTGTTAGATGACTATCGGCAAATCAGTCGCAAATCAGTTGCACAAGTTATTCCACTCAACCTACCTTGAAAGGCAAGGCAAATGCTCGGTCTTTCGTGAAGATGGGGTAATTTAGTACTATCCACCGCAAAGAATTGAAAAACTAACGCCTCGAGCTCGTTTAAACCCTTCGTCAGAGCGATTAGAGGAATTGTGGGTTGTGTGTAGTTTTATTTGCAGAAAATGGAGCTACGCTATTGGTGGGAATATGGTGAGGAGAAAAAAATAATAAATTTGTTGAATGAAAAGCGCGCGTTGATAAGGTGGTGATCAATAGCGTCGATTTGAAAGATAAATTTTTGTTCTAGAGTTTTGCGGCTTTCCAAACTGTCCAGATGTAGGGAAAGGCCGGAAACTGCCATATGCTGCTTCAGGGCCCTAAGTAATGGGCTCCTGGCTGCTTAGAATGATTAGGGAGATTAAAGTGTCTAGCGACTGATTCGGATACTTCCTTGTCATTTCTTTCGACATTGCGGACGTGTTCTCGGAATTGGTCATCTAGCTTTACCAATGTATAACTTTTTGCAATAAGGGCAAGTTATGCAGATTTTTAAGGTGCAAAAAAGCTTTCAATAAGAACTACTCCGGCGTCAGCTGTTCGCTAGTTTTCTCTCTCTTCCTCCATAGTATTAATCTTCCCTTCCATGGCTATCTCGTTGCCAGTCTATGAAGTAATTAACAATCCAGTCGAGGGCAGCGGCAACAAGGGAGTCACTTCCAGAAAGGATCCTTTCGAATACCACCCTGATGGCTCCTCTGGCAAACCTCATCATAACATCTCTCAGGTTTTCTCTTACTGAAGGAGGGACGAGGTTGATGCTGGGGAAACTCTACGCTAGGCCTCTCTACCCATGATCAGTGCCTATCGTAGCTGAGCGTAGACGCAGATGTGACACTGACCGGGATTATTAATATCTCCACCATGAAAATACTTCTGGTAGTGGGACGGCGATCAAAAGTAATGTCACTATTTTGATCACAACGGCTACGATCACCCTGGACTTGATCGAATCCTTAGATGTAGATATGAGTAACAAACCCAGTTGAGCTTCCTCTTACGCAGTTCATACCTTCTCTAAGTGAGAACCATGGGTTCTTAATCTTTCCACGACGGAAGCACTATTACCCAAAAAAAATATCAACAGCTCCGTTGGGTTTGGATGGGTTTTCTTATTATCATGCTTGATTTGCTCGAAATTTGGAGACTCAGGAGATACATTCTCCTCTGATTTTTACATGGGTTTCGTAGATCACCTGGTGAAGAAGTTCTTCTGAATGGAATATGCCTCCTGACTCCCTCGAAGGATGTTGCAGGCTTTAAACGATCCATATTTGGACCAGAAAGCAGGGTTCAAAATAACAGTCGGCTGACGATTGTATAATGAGGACATTAAACAAAGAAGGATTCGGACAAGGCTTTCTCCTTTCAAAGTTCACACACGCCTGGTAAATACTTTTGTGCGTCTTTTCTCGTAAAATTCAGGCACGAAAATAAAAACTCTAATCTTTTCCTTTTAATGGTGTTACTAATAACACCAATTAAAGACAAATCACAAATGACATTTTTCAAAGTTCAATTCATTGGTCCTCTGAATCAAATATCTTCATTGTACTTAGTAACTTTATATGCAGATGCTTGAAACTCATCTTACCTTGAAACAAAAAATCGCTCAGACCTCTAGCGAGCCTACATATAACATGCAATCTATCTGAACCTTTATTCTACGGCACGTTTGATTTCAGAATCGTAGCATGAACCTTTTAAGTATACAGAGTTCATTCTCGTTAATAGATTATACCTTCATAGTCTAACTAGTTGATATTTTTAATGGCACACAGTTTTTCTTTTTCATTCTCTAGGTCACCACCTAATCATTTCTACACGCCTTCTGATCAAGCCTCTAAAGTTAAAATGGGTCAGGAAGTTGGGTAAGACTTCTTAAAGTACTTTGTTAGTCGGCCGAAGAATGTTTCGTACTTTCTATCAAACTTATCACCGGCCAGCACATCGACTAATTGACTTGGTACATCGCCCAAGATCTCCTTAATGAGTTCTTCAGAGTACGTTTCGTCCACATTGATGGAGGGACCTGACACCTTTGCATCTTGGCCAGGTGATGTGGGGCACTCCTTTTCAGGTTCATAAAACGTCTCAGTTTTCTCCAAACAGCCGCTCAATCTTTTGTCAAAGTCGCTCTTTTTCAATTTTGCTCTGAATTCTTTCATTGCATTACTTTCTTCGATTGAAAAATTACCGAACTGGCCAAGACTGACAACGTTGCCATCTTTTCTTACTTTGCTTTTCTTCGTTTCCCTCAACAAAGGCGGAAGAAAATGAAATACGGTCGACATTTGCCATTAGGAAAGCAGCTTTTTGCGTTCCTGTTGATACGTTTGAAAGCCGCGATCCAAAATGCTGTTAACCAGTCTTCTCTATCTGGAAGTCTAGGATCATCCAACTCCCCGGCTGGCGTAAATGGCACATTAGTCACTGTTATCTCGGGTACTCCGATAGCAACCAAATGTTTCTTTATCGCTTTCTTGAAAGCTAAAAAGCGGTCATTGAAAAAGGTTACTTCAGGTACGTTACCCTTCTTCTTGGCTGGCAATAGTGAGACTTCGTTGGCAAAGGTTAAAACCACCAGAGCATGTTCCCAAAGTTTCTCCCCCAAGGTTTCTGTAAGCTTCTTTATCGTCTCCAAGTCGTCGGTGCGGAATCTCCTACTGGTCATCTCAGTGCAGAAGAGAAACAGGTCGAGGTGGGTTACTTTCTCCTTGATTTTCCGCAGATATTCTTCATCATTGCCGGTTGCGTCTGCAAGTCCTGGAGTGTCGAACACTGTGATACTTATGCCGTTTTTGACAACCTCGTAAGCAGTTACCTAAGGGAAATAAAACAGGAAATTAATACAACATATAACTCTAACACAGACTCATTATGATATTTCTTGCTATGTTACCTCAGTTACGCGAGAAAAATGCATGAAAACGTTTCATTTATAGGAAAGCCCCGTCTGTCTAAGAGACATTGGAAAGTAGTCTTTTCCTATCCTTCGAGTAACTTTGTACTTAATACCCGAAAAAACATTCCATAATTCTTTCTTGATTTCAAGTATCAAAGATACGACTTTTTGGGAGAAAATGGGAACAGATGGAGTTTAGACATGCTGCTTAAAATGACGCGGAATATTATTTATTTTCCCATCTACAAGTAATGCACAGTAACCCGTTAATGAAAGCACCTCATAATAGTTTAAAAGGTGAAGTAATTGTCGATATCAAAGTAGCTTACGTTATCAGTTTGTGGGTCGATGTCATATCCTTCTGCTGCTACGTTTTCTCCAATAAGCGCATTTGTCAAATAAGACTTGCCAACTCCTGTCTTGCCACTCAGGAGGATATTAACTGTCTGGCCACCGGAACTGACAAATTCTTCGATCTGATATTCCAAGTTTTTTGCACCAAATATAATCTGACCAACTTCAGTTGCCGAGGCATCAGAACTTTTCTCTGAGGTCCCTTCCTGTGCCATTCTTGATAACAAACTCTGAAATAAAATCATATTTATTATTATAAGAGGAAGAAAATAAAACATGTGTAAATTGACCAAACCATTGTGGATAGAAAATTAGTAAGAAATATTTAGTAAGCATTGTCAAAATAATAATACGCTGTTTGTTTTCCTCAGCCAAAAGATTATGTCGCCGACATAAATACTCTTCGGACAACATCTGGCATCAATTGGATCATTAAGTGATTTTGCTCACACGTGCTTCATTCGTGTCGCAGCCTTTAAAGAGTTGATTTGTTGAAACAGTTTTGAGTCATCTATGAAGACGTAAGTGCTTAGTTTTTGATTACGACGAGAAATCAAAATTCGGCTTATGATACTCTGATCTTCAGGTGTTTTATTTCCATGTGGGATCAGTCGCCCGACTACTGGTTACGTGCTACGTGGCGGAAGAGTAGAATGCAAGAAAATTTACATCGCTGACAAAAATTTTGATAAATCTTAACTTTGCTTGCGCTTAATTCTCCTCAGTCAATTTGCTGTGGTATTGTCATAGTAATATATTGATCAGTTCAGGCATTCAAACCTTCAACCTGTATTTCATCCTCTTCCATCTAAAAATATTGATCAAATTCGGTGGTCAATACTCTAAGTGCCTTGTGTTTTTTTCTCTATTTATTTTACATTAAGGGAGCGCTTAGTTTTTCTTTCAAATACTTTGAGTGCTCTGTGTTTTGTTCTCTATTTAGTTTACTTAAAGGTGCGCTTGGTTCTTCTTTCAAATTATACAAACGGGCTATTTTTTTGATCGTAAGATGTTGAATGTTGGCCAATACTTTGGTTATCCGTTAGCTTACGTTAGCTGTACCCACCCACCCCCTCCCCAAGGTGAGACGAAAGCGAGGGAAGTCACTCTAATCTATGCAAAATTATGTGACTTGATGATATTTTTTGCGTGCTAGCGAGAAAGACAATAATTCAAGTGAACTTATTTTCCATTATTTCGGGTAAATTTGCAATTCAGTGTCCGCGTTCAGTTATCTACTTTGCTTTCAGGATATAGAAAAAGATTTTAGGTGATATTTGGAATAGAGTAGGGAGAGATCGTTGTTCGATTGGCATCGCGCTTACGAAACGAAACGAAACGAGACGATGTCGAAACGAAACGAAAGGAAATGTCAGTCGTGTGATCGTTTCTACTTACATTTAATTGTAGACAGTGTCACGGTTGTCTAAAAAAGTTGGATCATTTGCCGCAGAATCTCAAGGTTTTACAGATTTCTCTGACAGATACTTACGGTGCACATGCGAAGAAAGAGCGAATTATTTCTCGGTCGAAAGTATCGCTACAGGAAACATGACTAACTTTAATTATTTTGACAATATTTTAGTGATATGTTGCCTTTTGTTGGCAAACTTCTCTGTCAGTCTTTAATCAAATAAAGCTGGTATATAGAATTGGACCCGAGGATTCTTGGAAAGAGAAGAAACATCTTACATCAAATTATCGAACAAAGATTCGTGTAAAAAAAAACTGTTTCTTCCTGATAACGCGCAAAAATAGATCTTGCTATTGATATCGATCATAATATATTACTCAAATTTCGCCAGCAAAATCGGCTCGAACTTCTCCAAACGTGGATTGCGTAGCGTACGATAATAGAGCTGCTATTTTAGACAGTACTGTTTAACGGCGACAACTAGGGAAGACCTGACTGAACAAATGTAAACTAAATTTTGTCAACGTATCGAAAGATACCAAGAATACGCGAAAGACGGCATGTGCTTGTAAGACTTTAGTGACGCGTTTCATGGCATAATCTCTACAGAATTGCATTAACAAAGCTTAGTTTTTCTTTTAAATTATACAAGCAGCCTATTTTTGTGACCATATGACGCTAAGTTTTGGTCAATATTTCAGTCATCTGTTGCCTTTTGTTGGCAAACTTATCTGTCAGTCTTTAATCAGTCAAAGCTGGTATCGAGAATAGGACGCGCTGATCCTTGGAAAAAGGACACGAGGATTTTTGGAAAAAGAAGAAACATCTTACAACAAATTACCCAACGAAGATTCCTTCAAAAAATATGTCGGAATTAGCGTAAAACTGTCTAAACCCCGTTAAAACCTATTTTTTCTTAATGACGAGCGAGAGTAGATCTTGCTATCGATATCGATCATAATATACACTCGACTTTTGCCAGCAAAATCGGCTCCAACTTCTCCAAACGTGGATCGCATCGCGCACGAAGATAAAGCTGCAATTTTGACCAGTCATGTTTAATTCGTAACGGCGACAACTAGTGAATACCTGAACAAATGTAAACCGAATTTTGTCGACGTATCGAAGGATACCACGAATACACGACAGACGGCATGGGAAAGCATTGGACGGCATCGAAAGATACTTTTTTTATAAAGATTATTTTGGTGAAAATGCTCTCTGCAGCTACTGCGCGGCTGTTGTTGGTCAAACCTCCTTTTTCTTTGTAATAACTTTTTATTATGTCTGTATTTTGTATCAGAAATATATAAGATTTAAAATTAAAATTAAAAACTAAAAAAAAAAGCCACGACGGCGACGGAAACGATGACTTGGCCGTGACATAAAAACTTGAAAGACTTCTTTGGGCAGAACAATAGCTCAGCGCTTCCCTTTTAAAACTGTTTTCATTTCTTATCCGGCCTCTGAAAAATAGGGACCTTAAGCAATCAGGAAGCTACGCCACAGAGGAAGTCGATTAAAAAGTCAATTTCTATTTTTAGTTAGAATTTCGAAAATGACAAGATGTGTTTACTTTTTACAAAGCCACACCTTTACTTCAGCACAACATAATTATGTTGGCAGCTTTGAGTTCCAAATGGAAATCAAAATAATTTGTCGTTCCCCTTTTCCGTTCGCAGACCATGCAAATTTTGGTGATTTCACGTTGTTGTTGTTTTGCAGAGCAAGCCTAAGAAATTTACAAAGCTTTAAAAAGCACGAGCTGAGCAATCGTTTTGCCTATTAGATCTTTTGTTTTGCCACGTCCTCGTTGTTCTCGTTGTCGTCGTTTGCTTCCAGTCGTAATTAACAACGTGAAATTATGAAAGTCTGCGTGTTCCGAGAAAAGAAACGTCGACGGCAAATTATTTAACTTTTCCACTTAGAAATCAACGCCGCTCTCATACGTCATGCTAACGTTAACTTGCGTCGACGTTAGAGATGGTAAGCACATCCAGTCATTCGCGAAATTCCAACTGAAAATGTATATTCATTTCTAAATCGACGTCTTCCTTGTCGCTGTAATGTACTGTTAGATGACTATCGGCAAATCAGTTGCACAAATTAATCCACTCAACCTACCTTGAAAGGCAAGGCAAATGCTCGGTCTTTAGTGAAGATGGGGTAATTTAGTACTATCCACCGCAAAGAGCTAGAAAAGCTGACGCCTCGAGCTCGTTTAAACCCTTCGTCAGAGCGATTAAAGGAATTGTGGGTTGTGTGTGGTTTTATTTGCAGAAAATGGAGCTACGCTATTGGTAGGAATATGATGAGGAGAAAACAATAATAAATTTGTTGAATGAAAAGCGCTCGTAGACACGGTGGTGCTGTGGTAAATACTCTTGTCAATCTTTTCCCTTAAAATTCAGGCACGGAAACAAAAATTCTATAATCCTTTTCTTTTGGGTGGTGTTTCTAATAACACAAATTAAAGAAAAATCACAAAAGACGTTTTTCAAAGTTTAATTTATCAATCCTCTGTATTAAATAGCTTCATTTTACTCAGAAACTTAATCTGCAGATGCTTGAAACTCGTCTTATCTTGTAACAAAAAAACGCTTGGATCTCTAACAAGCCCACATATAACATGCAATCTACCTGAACTCATCACTCAGCAACTTTATCTACAGATGCTTGAAACTCGTCTTATCTTGTAAAAAAAACGCTTGGAGCTATATGCAATCTATCTGAACCTTTTTCTAAAGAACATTTTATTTCAGGAACGTGACATGAACCTTTAAAATACACAGAGTTCATTTACGTTAACATATTATATGTTCATAGTTTAACTGGTTGATATTATTAATGACAAATAGTTTGTCTTCTTCACTCTTTTGGTCACCATGTGATCATTTCTTCATGCCTTCTGGTCTAGCTTAAGTGGGTCGGGAAGTTGGGTAAGACTTCGTAAAATACTTCGTTAGCCAGCCGAAGAATGTTTGGTACTTTCTACCAGATTTAGCACCGGTCAGCTCACCGATGAGTTGCCCTGTTACACCACCAAACACATCCTTAATGATTTCTTCAGAGTACGTTTCGTCCACATTGATGGAGGGACCTGACACCTTTGTATCTTGGTCAGGTTCGTCGGACATCTTGGTTTTCTTTAAACAACGGTTCAATTTTTTCGTCAAAGTCGCCCTCTTTCAATTTTGCTCTGAATTCTGTGATTGCATTCCTTTCTTCAATGGATAAATTACCGAACTGGTCAAGATTGACAACGTTGCCATCTTTCCTTACTTTGATTTCTTCGTTTCCGTCACTAACGGTGGAAGAAAATGAAATACGATCGACAGTTGCCATTAGGAAAGCAGCTTTTGCGTTCCTGTTGATACGTTTGAAAGCTGCGATCCAAAATGCTGTTAACCAGTCTTCTCTATCTGGAAGTCTTGGATCATCCAACTCTCCGGCTGGCGTATATGGCACATTAGTCGCTGTAATATCAGGTACTCCGATAGCAACCAAATGTTTGTTTATCGCTTTCTTGAAAGCTAAAACACGGTTATTGAAAGCGGTTGCTTCAGGTACGTCATCTGTCTTCTTGGTTGGCGATAGTGGGACTTCGTTGGCAAAGGTTAAAACCACAAGAGCATGTTCCCAAAGTTTCTCCCCCAAGGCTTCTGTAAGCTTCTTTATCGTTTCCAAGTCGTCGGTGCGGAATCGCTTACTGGTCATCTCAGTGCAGAACAGAAACAGGTCGAAGTGAGCTACTTTCTCCTTGATTTTCCGCAGATATTCTTCATCATTGCCGGTTGCGTCTGCAAGTCCCGGAGTGTCGAACACTGTGATATTTATGCCGTTTTTTTGACAACCTCGTAGGCAGTTACCTAAGGGAAATAAAACAGGAAATTAATACAACATATAACTCTAACAGAGATTTCATTATAATATGTCTTGGAATGCTACCTCAGTTACGCGAGAAAAATGCATGAAAACGTTTTATTTATAGGAAAGCCCTGTCCGTCTAAAAAGACATTGGAAAGTAGTCGTTTCCTATCCTTCGAGTAACTTTGTACTTAATACCCTTAGAAACATTCAATAATTCTTTCTTGATTTCAAGTATCAATGATAGGACTTTCCGGAAGAAAATGGAAACAGATGGAGTTTAAACATGCTGCTCAAAATGACGCGAAATATTATCCATTTTCCCATCTACAAGTAATGCACAGTAACCCGTTAATGAAAGCACCTCATAATAGTTGAAGAGGTGAAGCAATTGTCGATATCAAAGTAGCTTACGTTATCAGTTTGTGGGTCGATGTCATATCCTTCTGCTGCAAGGTTTTCTCCAATAAGCGCATTTGTCAAATAAGACTTGCCAACTCCTGTCTTACCACTCAGGAGGATATTAACTGTCTGGCCACCGGAACTGACAAACTGTTCGATCTGGTACTCCAAGTTTTTTACACCATATATAATCTGACCAACTTCAGTTGCCAAGGCATCGGAACTTTTCTCTGGGGTCCCTTCCTGTGCCATTCTTGATAATAAATGAAACAAAATAATGTTTAGTAATATAAAGAGGCCTACGCAGTATATACCTTTGGGTGAGCATCTGGCATCAATCGGATCATTAAGTGCTTTTCGCTCACACGTGCTTCATTCGTGTCACAGCCTTTAAAGAGTTGATTTGTTGAAACAGTTTTGAGTCATTTATGAGACGTTAGTACTTAGTTTTTGTTTACGACGAGAAAACAAATTTCGGCTGCTGATACTCTGATCGTCAGGCGTTTTATTTCCATGCGGATCACTCGCGACTACTGGTTATGTGCCACGTGACGGAAGAGTAGAATGGAAGAAAATTTTCATCGCCGAGAAAAATTTAGATAAATCTCAACTGTGCTTGCGCTTTCTTCTCCTCATCCGATTTGCTGTGTTATTGACACTTTAATATATCGATCAGTTCTAGCATTCAAACCTTCAACCTGTATTTCATCCTCTTCCATCTAAAAATATTGATCAAATCCGGTGGACAATGCTCTGCGTGCTTTATGTTTTTTTCGGTATTTAGTTTACTTAAAGGGAGCGCTTAGTTTTTCTTTCAAATACTTTGAGTGATCTGTGTTTTGTTCTCTATTTAGTTTACTTTAAGGTGCGCTTGGTTCTTCTTTCAAATTATACAAACGGGCCATTTTTGTGATCGTAAGATTTTAAATGTCAGTCAATATTTTGGTAATCCGTTAGCTTACGAACAGCCGTAGGGAACGTCACTCCAATCCATGCAAAATGAGTTGATGATATTTTTTTGCGTGCTAGCGAGAAAGGTAATCGAGGTAAACAGCAATTCAAGCGAATTCATTTTCCATTATTTCAGGTAAATTTGCAATTCAGTGTCCACGTTCAATTATATACTTTGCTTTAAGGTTATAAGAAAATATTTTAGGCGATATTTGGAAAAGAGTAAGGGGAGGACGTTGTTCGATTGGCATCGCGCTTACGAAACGAAACGAAACGAAATGTCAGTCGTGTAATCGTCTCTGCTTACATTTAATTGAAGACAGTGCCACTTTTGTCTTAAAATGTTGGATCATTTGCCGCAGAATGTCAATGTTTTACAGATTTCTCTAACAGATAGTTACGGTGCACATGCGAAGAAAGAGCGAATTATTTCTCAGTCGAAAGGATCGCTGCAGGAAACATGACTAACTTTAATTATTTTGACAGTATTTTAGTGATCTGTTGCCTTTTGTTGGCAAACTTATCTGTCAGTCTTCAATCAAACAAAGCTGGATTCTTGGAAAAATCGAGGACGCGAGGATTCTTGGAAAAAGAAGAAACATCTTACAACAAATTATCCAACAAAGATTCCTTGAAAAAAAACTATTTCTTCCTGATAAGTAGAACTTGCTATCGATATCGATCATAATATATTACTCAAATTTCGCCAGCAAAATCGGCTCGAACTTCTCCAAACGTGGATCGCGTAGCGTACAATAATAGAGCCGCTATTTTCACCAGTGTTGTTTAATTCGTAACGGCGACAACTAGGGAAGACCTGAACAAATGTAAACCGGATTTTGTCGCCGTATCGAAAGAAACCACGAATACGCGAAAGACGGCGTGTGCTTGTGAGACTCTCGTGACGCGTTGCATAGCATATCTTTACAGAATTTCTTCAACAAAGCTTAGTTTTTCTTTTAAATTATACAAACAGGCCATTTTTGTGACCATATGACGCTAAGTTTTGGTCAATATTTTAGTCATCTGTTGCCTTTTGTTGGCAAACTTATCTGTCAGTCTTAAATCAATCATAGCTGAGAATTCTTGGAAAAAGAAGAAACATCTTATAACAAATTATCCAACAAAGATTCCTTGAAAAAAATGTTTCGGAATTAGCTTAGAACTGTCTAAACCCCGTTAAAAGCTATTTCTTCTTAATGACGAGTGAGAGTAGATCTTGCTATCGATATCGATCGCAACATATATTATTCGACTTTTGCCAGCAAAATCGGCTCGAACTTCTCCAAACGTGGATCACGTCGCGCACGAAGATAAAGCTGCAATTTTGACCAGTGATGTTTAATTCGTAACGGCGACAACTAGCGAAGACCTGAACAAATGTAAACCGGATTTTTATCGAAAGATACCACGAATACACGACAGACGGCATGGGAAAGCATGGGACGGCATCGAAAGATACTGGGGACCTTCAGCAAACCACGACGACTTGTACTAGTGAATTTAAATGTCTTATTAATAAAAATCCTCACGACAGCAATTGCGCGGCTGTTGTTGGCCAAACCTCCTTGTTTCTGTGTAGTAACTTTAGTTATGTCTGTAATTTGTATTTAAAATATGTAAAATAAAAAAGAAAAAATAGAAATTAAAAAAAACAAAAAAAACGGCGACGGAACGATGACTTGAAAACAATAGAACAATCGGCTCAGCGCCTTGCCTTTTAAAACTGTTTTCATTTCTTAACCGTCCTCTGCAAAACAGGGACCTTAAGCAGTCAGGAAGCTACGCCAGGGAAGATTTCGATTAAAAACTCAATTTCTATCTTTAGTAAGAATTTCGAAAATGGCTGGATGTGTTTACTGTTTACAAAGCTACACCTTAACTTCAGCACAACATATGTTGGCAGCTTTGAGTTCCAAATGGAAATTAAAATAATTTGTCGTTCCCCTTTTCCGTAAACAGAACACGCAAATTTTGGTGATTTCACGTTGTTGTTTTGCAGAGCACGGCTAAGAAATGTATAAAGCTTTAAAACTGCACAAGCTGAGCAATTGTTCTGCCAATTAGATCTTTTGTTTTGCCACGTCCTCGTTGTTTTCGTCGTCGTGGTTTGCTTAAAGTCGCAGCTATCAACGTGAAATCATCAAAATCTGCGTTTTCCGAGAAAAGAAATCTCGACGGCAAATTATTTAAGTTTCCACTTGGAAACCAACGTCGCTCTCATACGTTATGCCGAGGTTAACTTGCGTCGCCGTAAGAGATGGTAAGCACATCCAGTCATTCGCGATATTCCAACTGAAAATATATATTCATTTTTAAATCGACGTCTTCCTTGTTGCTGTAATGGACTATTAGGCGACTATCGGCAAATCAGTTGCAAATTAATTAGATGCACACATTAATCCATTCAACCTACCTTGAAAGGCAAGGCAAATGCTCAGTCTTTCGTGAAGATGGGGTAATTTAGTACTATCCGCTGCAAAGAGTTGAAAAGCTGACGCCTCGAACTCGTTTAAACCCTTCGTCAGAGCGATTAGAGGAATTGTGGGTTGTGTGTGGTTTTATTTGCAGAAAATGGAGCTACGCTATTGGTGGGAATATGGTGAGGAGAAAACAATAACAAATTTGTTGAATGAAAAGCGCTCGTTGATACGGTGGTGATCAAGAGCGTCGATTTGAAAGATAAATTTTTGTTCTAGAGTTTTGCAGCTTTCCGAACTGCCCAGATGCAGGGAAAGGCCGAAAACTGCCATATGCTGCTTCAGGAGCCTAAGTAATGGGCTCCTGGCTGCTTAGAATAATTAGGGATATTAAATTGTCTAGCGACTGGTTTGGATACGTCCTTGTCATTTCTTTCTACATCGCGGACGTGTTCTCGGAATTGGTCATCTAGCTTTACCAATGTATAACTTTTTGCAAAAAGTGTAAGTTATGCAGATTTTTAAGATGCAAAAAAGCTTTCAATGAGAACTACTCCGGCGTCAGCTATTCGCTAGTTTTCTCTCTCTTCCTCCATACATTGTGGAAGTAAGGTGAGGTATTTTTATTGAGAATTTGACGTATTTTTTTATTCCTTAAAGCGATTATAAATATTCCCATACAAATTCTTATAATTCCGCCATAACTGTTATTGCGCAAGATGATCATCTCACAGCTGGAGCTCGGGCCGTCTGTGATGTCACACTTAAAGAAAACGTAGAAAGCTGGATATTGTAAACAAAAATACTCCCTGTAGCACGCTTCAAATTTCGAAACTTTATATTCGTTTACGTTTGCAAACAGCCTTCAAAACATTGGTTGCTTTATTGCCTGATATGAAATATTCACCATAAGCGATAAGACAGCGACTTTAACTTCAGTCGAAAGATCAATAAGCATAATATTTTCAATAAAATTCTAGTTCCTTGGTGAAAAAAAAGTTCCATAACCCTAAGCAAAAGTTTCGGCTGCCGCCGGCAGCTGGCTGTTAGCTTGAATCCTGTGTAATTTATCATTTC